ATACCTTTAGAGTCTTGAGATTTCATTGTAGCCTGCACAGATTCAAGACACCCTGTGACAGATGCAGCAAAGCAGCCCCAGAACATAACAGAGCCTCCTCCATGTTTCACAGTAGGGACAGTGTTCTTTTCTTGATATGCTTCACTTTTGCATCTATGAATATAGAGCTGATGTGCCTTGCCACAAAGTTCCAGTTTTGTCCCGTCTGTCCATAGGACATTCTCCCAGAAGCTTTGTGGCTTTTGTGGCTTGTCAACATGCAGTTTGGCAAATTCCAGTCTGGCTTTTTTTTCTGATTTGTTTTCAACAATGGTGTCCTCTTTGGTCGTCTCCCATGAAGTCCACTTTGGCTCAAACAGCGACGGATGGTGCGATCTGACACTGATGTACCTTGACCTTGGAGTTCACCTTCAATGTCTTTAGAGGTTGTTCTGGGCTCTTTTGTTACCATTCGTATTATCCGTCTCTTCCATTTGTCATCAATTTTCCTCCTGCGGCCACGTCCAGGGAGGTTGGCTACAGTCCCATGGATCTTAAATTTCTGAATATTATGTGCAACTGTAGTTACAGGAACATCAAGCTGCTTGGAGATGGTCTTATTGCCTTTACCTTTATGATTGTCTATAATTTTCTTTCTAATCTCCTTAGACAAGTCTCTCCTTGGCTTCCTCTGGTCCATGTTTAGTGTGGTACACACCATGTCACCAAACAGCACAGTGACTACTTGTAACCCTATAAATAGGCCGACTGACTGACTAAAGTTTGTAGACACCTGTGATGCTAATTAGAGGACACACCTTGATTGAACATGTCCCTATGGTCACATTATTTTCAGTCTTTTCTATGGGTACCATCAGTTTTGTTCAGGCTTGTTTCATTAGTTGATTTTTTTTTAAAATAATTATTTTGAACCATGGTTCAAAAGCAATGTCTGATTTTCATCGGCTAATTTTCATAGAATTTTTCTTTATTATTACTTTTGTCAGATTCAAGTTATTTCTGTGACCGTTGTGGGTTTTTCTTTCATTAACCGAGGGGTACCAACAATTTTGTCCACGTGTGTAACATTTTCTAAAATTCCTTATAGAAAAAAGTGTATTTATACTTAGTGTTGTGCCAACCAAGGAGGACACAAGCTAAATGAATCCATCAGCACCACACTGCCTCTGTCTGCTCAAATAGTGATTTTTTTTTTTTGATTACCACCTTTACATTTGTTCATAGTTCTGAGTAATGTTTCTTGTCAATTATTTATGATATAGTAAGTCAAAGTTATGAGATTTAAAGTCAGAATTACAAGTTAGGAGGTCTAAAACATCTATCTTTCGTGAATGCAATGCATTTCCATGTATTTCTTTCATTTATTGTTATTCAGAAAGATTCATGAAACTTGGCCTCCGCACTGTCTTTTGTGCTGCCACGAGGGGCACTAAAGTCATACATTTTCTAATTGATTAATTAATTATTGATGTCAGCAATGTTTGTGGTCATTATTCAAAATGGTCATACTAATCACATTGTATTTTTTGTGGTGAATATTTATGAATCACCCATTTTATTTTGCATATTTGTAATTAATTGACATTACTTTGGAGAAATCTGATTTCACTTTGACACAAAAGGGTCTTTTCTAATTGGTAAGTTCTTGTCCAGAAAGCCAAATTACATTGACCATGATTTCATCATAAAAATCAGTAGAAAGGGAAAACTTCCCAGAGGAATGAATGCTCTTTTTAGGCTCTGTATTCGTGGCTGACCCTGTCTTTCTGTTTATAGGTGCTCATCAGCAGGTATCCCAGTCTGACAGTGGTATCAGACCGTCTGCTGGATATCTACTGCCAGCTGACTGGGGAGAGACACGCTGAAGTGGACACAAGCAGCATTCAAACCCCTGACGACAGCCAGCAGCACAAGTCTGAAGACAAAAGCACACCTCTGGAGGGGAGAGCTTTGTCACTGAGGTGGGGCCTTGGTCCAGCTCACTATTTTCTCTGCTTCCTCTTTGGTTTCATACGTCTAGTATTCTTATTAAATTTCATACTGTAAAGTGACCTTTTATGATGAAATTGTAATTCCACGCTCTTAAAGAACATCCTGCTGTTCTTGGCTGAATTATTTCTGATGATGACTATGACTCTTAAACTATTTTTTTTCTTTTTTTAAATCACTGAGTAAACAGTTAAACAAGTGTGGAAAACCTCCAAAGAAAGGGACCCAGGAAGCATCCTCCGAAGATTCTCAGACCACCTCAACTATGAAATGGGGGCTGATAATTGACATATAGATTGACTTTGAGAGCTCTGACTCTAAAATAATAGCAGTTTAGTGGATGTGAATGGAACTTTAGTGGTACAGCATTAAAAAGGACAGTCTGATAATTTCAGAAGTCATTTTACTTACACTGGACGATCCACAGCCACACAACACATCGCCTGATTTCACTGGAACTGAAGGAATAGCCCCAATGAAGACTGTCAACAGTAGGATTTGTGCAAACCATCCATCCATATCTAACTCACAAATTTATGGAACAAGGGCTCCTCCTCCTCCTCCTCCTCCTCCTCAATACACATCTCAGTTTAACCCCTAGTAAACATGAGCTATTTTTGGTCACCTGATTAGATTGAACTGACATTTCACTTGCTGTTATTCGTTCAGTTTGATAGTGAGTTTACATTGTTTTCAACAAATCAACATGGAGGCCATGAAGGGGATCACTTGCAACAGTTAATTGAATGCATTTCTCAACTATCAAAGAAGTATGAATTTAAGAGTTGGCACACAGGTTTTGATCTCTGGGTCCTTTCATTTTTAACAATGTTGCAAACATGTATGGCACAGCTTGTAAGAGCACCAAACAACCTCCATTTGCTCCCACTGTTACTATGGAGATGTCTCCTTCCTGCAGAACCAATAAATCAAACTTCTATTGGAAGAGTACAGAACCTTAACGATTTTGTACTTTTCAACCGATTGCTCTCTGGATCTGCTCTACTTGAATCCTAAATATCGTGTTCAGTCACTTTATGACTTTTAACAAATGACCAAAAAAAAAAGAATTTAAAACAGAAGAGTTTTCCATTAAAGTGTTGGACAGTAATGGACAGATACTGAGGGACAAGAATGAAAAAGACTATTTAGACTACTTAAAATATTTTTTCTTGCAAATTAACCGAGGGATTGTTCTGCAACAGCTCTGCGTGCACTGTCTGGATTGACTCCATAATCCCCAAACAGCAGCACTTCATCCTGATGGCATACAAAGCTTGAGCCCACTTGGCCTTAAATCAGCTAAAGTGAAAACTACCAGCCAGTCTGCAGCTCAGCCTTCTCGACTTTAATTAGCTTTCCACTAGCTGCTGCTGTGTTCGATAGATTATTGATTGCACTGTTCTCTGGACGATGGGCTGGAGCTACAGAATCTCCAGGTCATAAAGTGCGTTCTCATTAGGTTACACCTTTACAAACACCTGCTCATTGAGAGACATAACTCACCTGCCTTTGTGTTGTTCGGATTCTCCAAATGTTTCTGATGCGGCCTGCAGATGCTGTGTTGGTGAAGATTCAGCTGTATTTCAGCATGTCTATAGTTTCCATGCTGTGAACTTCAATAGTACATACATGTTTCACAAATCAATGTAATTAACGATATAGGTCGAACAGCAAAGTCCATATGTGCTAGCCTAGGTCATGAGGGTTCATGTTATTGAACAGTGCACATTTACTTTAGATTCACAGGCATACTTAGTCGTGTTTAATTATTGTTCCATCAGTCACTATTTGTTACTGTCAGCTTGTAGCAAAGCTATTGATGACACCAACTTTCACTTCCGAAATCATTAAATGTTCATTTAATCCGGCTCCTCCACATTTGATCGGTCTGTTCCCTTTGTGTCCCTACATGCAGAACATTGTTGCACGTTGCATTTAATGCTTCTCATCAACAAAGATATGTAATACCTGAATCAAGCTAATATATGTTTATATATGTCATAATCCAGAAATATCAGACTCCCTCTGAGACCTCCAAAATAAATAGAAAAATATAGCTACAGTCATAACATCCTTTTTACTCTTTCTGTTTCTTTCTCATGACTCCACAGAGACCTCCTGAAATGGTGTGAGAGGATCAGCATCAACTTTGACAGCTCCTCGTCATCAACAGCACAACATGTCTTCCAAGAGGTTAGTGTGTTTGTTTTCTTAAAAAGAAAGCAAATGAAGAGATTACTGTCTTTCATGCGAAGCTGCCAGAGAATACTGCCATGTAGAAAACACAGTTGCTGCATATAACCTCTCTGAATGAAGACAGAAAGATAATAATTTAAAACACCTCTGAAAACAGCTTTTTTAAAAATTTGTGGTGACTAAGATGGAGCGGAAGAACTTGCAGAGTATACACTTTATGAGTGCAGTAGACATTTTGACTTTTTGCAGAAAAAGCACAAGTGAGAGACTTTGTTTTAAAGTTATGAATTATGCATGCTTTTCCTGCTAACTATACAGATGAAGTCACAGAAACCCTTACAAAAATGTGTTTTCTTACAATATCACCGTCGTGGTTAACCTTCCCCCCACAAATTTGCAGCAAGGTCATATTTTCATATACAGGTTAATGTATGCTTCTGGCAAACTTGCACCAGACTTCTGCCAAACTTTGTGGAAAATGTATGTCAAACTTCTAATTGTCGTCATAATGTTGCTGGAAGTTTGTCACTAGTAACCAATACCGGCACACGTTTAACAGCATTTTTGGAAAGCTGGTGTTTCTGCTGTTAATAAGCCACGAGCTTGTAGCAAATCCTCCACAAATATTGTTTTTAAAAGGGAAGGAAGATAACTACTAGCTAGCAACTAAAGTCTTAAAAATGACACTAACTAACCAGATGTCCACTTCTACATTTCCTTTAAACCAGTAGTGGAAAGTACACAACATTGTCTTTTTCTGGTCTTTCTCCTCATCAGGCTCTGGACTGCTTCACAGCTATGCTATCTCGTCCCGAAAGTCGACTGCGAATGGCAGAGATCATTGGAAGCAAACTCAACATCTCCAAAGAGAAGGTATGTGAACAACAATTACATGACAGACACATTTTATGCAAAAAAAGCTTGCTGTGATTTTGATGTCTGTTTTGTCTCCAGGCACAGCACTTCTGCCAGATGTATCAGCCTGGCATCGCGCTGACTGAGCTGGAGGCCTCGGTGGGAAGAGTGACTCTGGCTCGAAAGCAAACTGAAGCGGTGCAGCTGACTTTGTAAGTGGGACATCATGTCCATCTGCCCATTTTGTACTTCTGTTTACGTTCTGTGTCCACATTTACCTACTGATTGATTGGAACAAACCCCCTGCTGGTAAATGGAATAAACATTTAATTGATTTTAAATGACATTATCGTAAACAAAGCCATCTAATGGCTCAGCCATCAGGATGTGTCCAAATATTCACATTGATCATTTTCCAAAGACACCACCAATGGGTGTCAGACTTCTCAAACACCAACAGGGAGATCACTGTATGCTTCCATTGTGGTGAAAGATTTGAAAGTAACATTAGGGTATAATAATAGACAAATTAACTTTATCTCTGTTATATATTTACCCAAATTACAAAACAGACTGTTTTTGGCTTTACCTCCAGTGGCATAATTCATGCACACATTTTCTTTTAGATTTCATTTGCCCAGATTTTGAGCTCTAAGATTGCTGCCTCCACCCACTTGACAGCTACATGTCTTTATAGTCAAATAGTGTCTCAGATATTCTGAGTAATTCACAGACCTTCACCAACGATTGAAACAAAAATGTATCTTTTTATGGTCATATTTGCCTACATATTAAGGACAAAACAAAATCTTTACATTCAGTTTAAATAGTTTTCAATTACTATCGCCTAATATTGAATCAGCAGAGTGATGAAAGATGGTGAAGATCTACAAGCAAAGGCAAGCAAGGGCAAACTTGGCATAAAAAAAATGTGTACAGATTAAATGTGTTTTTCTTTGTCATAAACAGGGATAACCAGACATTTGCTGCCACACGGCCCTCTGCTGTGCTGCTGGAACAGCTGGCAGTATGTGTGGCAAAGTTGGAGCCTGTTCTCCTGGTGGGAGAGACAGGAACTGGAAAGACCTCCACTGTACAACACCTGGCCAGAGTCACAGGTGAGCTCAGTTTTACACAAAGACACACAGAGAAGCTCAGCTGTGGGTTGATGTTGATTTGATTCTCTGGCCACTTGATTCAGGACACAGACTGAGGGTTGTGAACATGAACCAGCAGAGTGACACTGCCGACCTGCTCGGAGGGTGAGTGACTGTGCCTGAACAACATTAACATTACAGGGCTTACAATGAGCGAGTCTTGATGCTGGATCGTTATTTATTAATGGAGCTCTGAGGTGCTGGTGGATCCCAGTGGACGAGCCTGGTAAGTTATATATAGTATATGCTTTTCCTGTCAGCTGGGAAAAGAAGGTGTGAACTACTTAGGAGGCAGTGCTAATCAGATTCAGTTATTTTTTATTTTTTTTTGCAAGGTAGGTTGTCACATACAAGGAATTTGACGTGGTGGACATTTTTAAATAAGGATAACAGATTTAAAGAGCGAGTGTGCAAGCCAAATAAACAGTAGGTGTTACAAGACAAATGGCAAACAAGTGTCACAAGCCAAATAAACAGCAAGTGTTGCAAATGCAGGGTATTATAAAAATAATAAAAGTAAGAAATATTTACCATTCACACAAATTATTCACCTGAAAACATGCAAGAATAAATGTAAACAATTTTAAATATGCAAAACATAACCTTAATAATCATATTTGAAAAGCTGCATGTTAATTCAGCTCATTGAGTCCATGTCTGTGGTGGGAGTAGGGGGAGAGAGGCAAAGCTACTGGGGGTCTCTGGTCCCAGTAGATGAGGCCAGTTGCTGTTGGGAAGGTTGCTGGTCAAAGTAATTCTGTTGCAAAGGCTAAATCTATAACAAAATAGTCTTATTTTTATACAAACGGTTCAGTATGACCCTCAGAACTAGGAAGAGCAGGTGCTGAATAAATCAAGATAATCACAGATTTTCCCACTGACGTCTTAGTCTGGAAGGATCAATCCTACACGTATTGTATGTAATCATACACAAAGATGACCACCTACATACACTTTACAAAAAGGTACACGAACAGAGCAAACACCTTGCAAGATGCCGTCTGGTGTGATTGGTGATGTCAGCAGGCTGTGTCACACCACATGATTTGTTTTGGATTAAAATTCACTCAGCATTTTATTAGATTTGGGTGAGAAACACTACTTTTCACAGGGTTTCTGCAGGTTTGAGAGGTTTTTAAAAGGCATTGACTTCATTGCTACAATTGAATATATAACTTTTCTTGTATATGGTTGCATGCATGTGGTTAGTTTTGTACACTTAAAACAATAATGCAGCACCATTAAACTGTAGCACTATATACTACATAGATAGTGAAAGCATTCTAGTGTGTAATGTTATGGCCACACATACATAAAATCTATCTAAAAAGCATCACCATTCTGAGAAAGACTTGGTTTAATGGTTTAGTTGGTAATTTCATCCATTCATTTCCCACCACCGATCTTGGTTGTGTCAATTGAATAATTATATTATTAGGAAAGGTTAAATACAGCCAGGAAGTGTTGACAAAAAGTGATATATAAATGTAAATTCTTGTGCTTTATAGAGAATTGTAGATCCTATTGTCCCTACTTTGTTTTTGTCAGTTTTGGCTGATATGCAGGGAAGCTCTGTATCATGCTAGTGTAAGGCCACGGTTTTTATATGGTGAAAATCTCATATATGAAACCATCATATTTTTCAGGTACAAGCCAGTAGACCACAAGCAGATCCTGCTGCCTCTGCGGGAGGCCTTTGAGGACCTCTTCTCCCAGACATACTCGAGGAAGCAGAACCTGACCTTCCTGGGTCACGTGCAGACCTGCTTCAGGGGCAAACGTTGGCAAGATCTGCTCAAGCTCATGGATCACGTCTGCAAGTCAGCTCTGGCTAAAGAGCTACAAGAGAAATCAAATGGTAATGATCTAGAAAAAGTAAACAATGCTATCAGTTAGAATGCTGAAGAATTGCTGTTGTGCAGTCAAATACTGATGTTTTCTCTTGGGTCTTTGCAGCTGCTGTGCTACAGGAGCAGTGGGAGGCGCTGGCTCTGAAACTGAATCAAACCCAGCAGCAGATCCGAGCCTGTGAGACAGCTATGATCTTTGCCTTTGTGGAGGTAATAACTTCAAAAAATACACACAGACATTCATGCGTCAGTGTGTAGCAGCTATGACCTGTGTGTGTTTCTCTGTAGGGAACATTAGCTCAGGCAGTGAAGAAGGGACACTGGATATTGCTGGATGAGATCAACCTGGCAGCAGCGGAGACTCTGGAGTGTCTCAGTGGACTGCTGGAGGGCAGCGCTGGATCTCTGGTGCTGCTGGATCGTGGAGACACTGGTGAGAGCTGCACTCAATTGCAGGGTTTGGTGTGATTTAAAAATAAATAAATAAATAATAATAACAAAAATCCTGAATATGGATCTAGCCCCTTGTTAGCTTATCAAATCCGTGTAGATCCCTTATTGAATGCATTCAGCATTCACAAATTGTAACCAAAGTTCAGAATAACTAAATTTGTAGAATTACTAGAGCTCTGTACTTTGATTGTCTGAAACAATTGTAGTGGCTATCTCAGTTTTACAACCTGTACATATGACATGAAACACACGAGCAGCTAAAGATACGTCATGCCCAATTGTCATACTCTAAATATGACACTGAATCATCAAATGTATTTCATCATTTTGAATATATATATATATTTTTTTAGCATTCCTTGGAATATTATTAACATTGTTTTTTTTAATTTTTATTACAGAGCCCCTGGTTCGCCACCCAGACTTCCGTCTCTTTGCCTGCATGAACCCAGCAACTGATGTGGGGAAAAGGAACCTGCCTCTGGGCCTCAGGAACAGGTGAGAGTATGGAGAGATGAAGGCAAAATGATTATTAATTTTTTACTAGAGTCCATCCATCCAACCATTATCTATACACCGCTTAATCCTCACTAGGGTCGGGGGGCTGGGGGGCTGGAGCCTATCCCAGCTGATTTAGGGTGAAGGCAGGGGACACCCTGGACAGGTCGCCAGTCTATCACAGGGCTACAATCGCAGGGCTACAAAGTATACTGGACTTATCTTTTGTTTTATTTTATTTTGGAAGAATAATAGAGATATACTTATTGACTCCTTAACAGGGCAGGCTGTCGGACTGTTTGGTGCTCAACTATGCTATAGATACATCTGTGGTGTTTAACTGGGTACCAATGCGACATAAGATTTTTGTGATTCAATCAATCAATGCAAACTATTTTAAGATCACAGCAGCAGGTAGAAACAAATACAAAACTGGGGCAACTCACCCAGGAAGCGTCATAGTAATCCACTCATCGATAACATCCTGACAAAAATGTTCTTATTGGCAAAGGCCCAGATGTTCAAATTCTGTGCAATATATAGACCAATACACATTATTATGTCTATGAATATCAACAGGCTGCTGTTGTATTGTTTCAAAATTACTAGCAGATGTGCCTAAATGTTCCATGTATTCTCAATTATCATTCAGTTTACATGTAAAAATTGCTGATCTGGATTTCAAAATGTCACCTGTAGACTGATCTTTCCATCGACACCACACTTGACCCAATAGAGGCACTTCATTAGAATTCAGTCAGTGCCTAATGCCTGACCCTTTCAGAATTTTTTTTTTCTATATTTAATCAAGCCATACAAAACTTCACCTCCTTATTATGAGTATTTTCTGAATTGCAAGCCACTTCAAGTGGGTTTGAGCTTTTTAATTTCCATTCCCAAGCATCACCTTTTTCTAGAACCTACAATAGTGACTATATGTTAAAGACTAGCAGCCTTGTTTTCCTGTTATACCATTATATAGACATATCTTTTTTAGAAAAACATGGGTAAAATATTTTGTTCATTTTCTAGTGAATTGGTATGAAAATGGAACCTGGGGTAGGTAAGACTTTGTGCTGTGGTGCCGTTGTGTTTTCCAGTTGGTCAGTCCCAGTAATAGTCATCAACAGGCAAACATTCAAATGAAACTAAAATCCTTCTAATTCCTTCTATTCAAACTTTTATTACTCAATCCCATTCGCGCTTGCAGTGATTCGGATTCCAAATGACTCAAGAAGAGCTTCAATTTATTCAGGGTATGCCTTGGAGAGCCGTTTCCGGCTAATTTTTTAGCCGTAATGGTAAGATGTTAACAGTCGTATGTGTTAAAGAGAGAAAGGAATGCTCAATGATACATACATTTCTCTCTTCACATCCAGACTGTATTAAATTCTAAACTAAAAAATGTCATGTGGATTTGTGATTTCCATAGTTGTTTGTGTCGCAGTCAGTTAAACGTATTTGCAACCCAGCGTGTTTCATGTGTAAATCTGTGTGTGTCCGTGTGTTTGCGTCTCCCAGGTTTACTGAGCTGTATGTGGAGGAGCTGGAGAATGAGGGAGACCTGAGAATCCTGGTTTTAGATTACCTCAAGTGCTTGAATCCACACAGGAACGTGATCAGTGGCATCATAAGGTTAGCATTTACATATTTTTTACATTATATTGGGTAATGTGTTTATAACCGCCTTTATAGGCAGTGCTAATAGCAACTGTGGCATTTTGCAGACATTCTACCTTTTTTGTACAGCTTGTTGGGGTCATATGCAGCCTGCAAGGCACGAATCAGGGCTGGAAAAATGTTTCTTATGCATGTTTCTATGCAGTTCATCATCACTAATTTCTGAAGCAATGAGACACAGCATCACATGAGTACAGTCTTAGTGACAGACCAAAAAATTAAGGGTTGTTTTTTTTTTGCTTGTGTGCAGTTTTTACCTGGCAGTACGAAAGGAGGCTAACTCCCATCTGGTGGATGGGACCGGCCACAGACCCCACTACAGCCTGCGGACTCTGTGCAGGGCTCTGAAATATGTAGCAACAAACCCCTGCAACAATGTGCAGCGTTCACTCTACGAGGTAGGAAGCCAGGGATAAATAATCTGTTTAAAGGGACAGTCCACTAAAATTCAGTTTGTCATGTTCAGACAATTAGTTGGGTTTCCATCACCAATTTCTTGTTTGCAGGGTTTCTGCCTGAGCTTCCTCACTCAGCTGGACAGAAGCTCCCACCCTCTGGTCCAGAAGCTGGTGTGTCAGCACATCCTGATGGGAAACACCAAATGTCTCAAACAAGTAAGACACTCTCAGAGAGCTGTAGTCCGTTGTTTTAAAGGGCTGTCATGTTTTATAGTATATTTGCATTGCTGTCGCTGGATGTCGATGGATGTGTAGACATTTTGCGATTACTGTGTTAAAAAAAAAACAAACAAAAAAAAACTTTAAATCAATTAAAGAGACTTCAAATCGCCAATGTTTTACTGCACTCCAGCACATATAATCCTGTTTAAATTTGCCATTAATGTAAATTCAAGACTTCCTTGATGTTCAATCACTACAAATTAGTCATATAACCACTCTGCTGCACTTATAATAATAATATAATAATAAACTTAATTTATAGAGCACTTTTCAAAACAAATGTTACAAAGTGCTTTTCAGTAAAATAAAGAAAAATTAAAATGCAATAAGCATACAGAACGATTGATAAAAGTAGAAAGTCACACACAAAAAGCAAGAAGCTAAAAAACATAGAACTTAAAACTTAATAAAATCAGGAAAAGCTCTCCAATAAAAATGTGTTTTAAGAAGACTCTTAAAAGAGAGCACAGACTTAGCCGACCTGATTTCCTCAGGCAGGTCTTTCCAGAGCCACTTCTTTAAGTTTCCCTTTTAAACACAAATTGCATTTTCATGCACATTATTTATTTAATTACTGTAAAGCTACCATCTATAAAACAGGGATTCCGTTAATGGCAGTTTTAGTTTAACCACAAAAAAAATCTACAAAGTTGAAGTGTTATGAAATTAATACTAAATATTAATAGTATTTCAGAGCAGCAGACTGTTGAGTAAAGGAGAACTGTGGTGTTGGATTGATAGAATTGGTGAGAGGGAAATGTGCATTATACTAAATTTAAGATGAACTATGCTATGTGTGGAGCTATATTTGCACATTTACACAGGTATGTTTTTTTCATTTATTTATTTTTTTGACAAATGGCTTTTGCTTAAGAACTTTGATTTTTACCTTGTTATGTTTCATGCAGCCCATCCCAGCACCCTCAAGCCGGCCCTGTGTGGAGCTGGAGGGCTACTGGGTGTCGCAGGGGGAGCTGGAACCAGCTCTTGACCCCAGCTACATCCTCACCGCCTCTGTCAAGCTCAACCTTCGCGACCTCGCCAGGGTGGTGTCTGCAGGGTAGGATAACTGTCACACTGTCTGACCTCTTGCACACAGTTTTCCACTGAATCGATGGCTTCATCTCTAAATGTCCAGACATCGTGTTGACAAAGTTAATTCGGGCCCTTTAGGAAGTAATGCATCAGAGTGCATCCGGACAAAACTGTGGTTGTAGTGAATTCCCTGCATGAACCCATAAATGGATATTGATAGAAATTTCAGTTCGGTGATAAAGTCTGGCTCAGAGTCAGACTCTGTGCAGATCGGTCAAGTTTGTCCACGCTAAACTAGATGTTGCTTTGTACACATGAACACTATCTTTGCAGGAAAAAAACAAACACACTTTTGACACACAGTTTTAAAAAATGCATTGTCAAAATTGAATAAACAGGTTGATGACAATTAAGTTTGTGAGGTGAAAAAAAATAAAGTAAAATTCTTTCCATTTCAAGTTTTGCCCATTTCTACTTAAAAAAAAAGAAGTTTTTATTCATTATCTATTATCAAACACTGAAATCAGACTCCTCTTGCACATTAATGCATTTGCACAATAAAATCTACTACGAAGAGATGGAACTTGTTCATATAGTAATAAATGATTAGCTTTAAATCATAGATTATTCAATTACTTTACAGTTTGTAATTGAATTTTGTTGTCACCGACACCAAAAACGAGTTGATTTCAAACATCTGTAATTTTGATTAGTTTTGCCACCTGTCATTTGTATTGTACAAACACAAATTGTCTGGTTTTGTTATCGTCAGCTCTGCATGACTCAGCAGTCCCTCCTCATCACTCAATATCCACTCAATTAGGTTAATTTGGTACACTCAGGTTACAGCATCACTCTACACTGAGCTGATGACAGATCTATAGTCTGCCCTCCCTTCACAATCTCTTCTAATGCTTGGGCTTCGCAGGACTCACCCAGTGCTGATTCAGGGAGAGACCTCTGTGGGGAAGACCAGCCTGATCCGCTGGCTGTCTGCAGCCACCGGGAACCAGTGCGTGAGAATCAACAACCACGAGCACACCGACATCCAGGAGTACATTGGCTGCTACTCATCAGACGACAGGGGCAAGCTGGTGTTTAAAGAGGGTATGAGCGCGAACCTGTCTTCAACGACAAGTTACACAGACACGTGGGGTTTATTGATTAGGCCGTTGTATCTGCGTCCTGGTGAGATGTGATGTAAATTAAACCAAAGCAGGATCCAGATTAACAACCAAAATATTAAAATGTATCCCACCCCAAATCCCATAAACCAAAGAACCTGCCTCATCAGAATACTTGGTGTAGAAAAATAGCAAAATATGTTGTGATATATAGCAAAAATGGATAAGTATTGTGAGGCAACAATCCCAGGTGAACACCTCACCTAAACCATCATAAAAAACTATGGATTATTTTCTCAAAACTGTAATGTCTAGTTATTTAAGGACATTACTGAGGCTGTATATTAATTGTTCTATTATTATATATAAAAATGTATATCCACTGTAGGATTCTATGGGCTTGGAACTTAGAACCTCAGACAGCATGGAGAGATGGACTAATATATTATTGACCTTGATTTTTGTTTCTTTTTTTTTTTAAAGATTGAAATCTAAAAGATATATTCATGCCAGCATTATCATTTAAAATTTAGGAATGGGACGGGGCTTTGAATAGAGTCAGACCAATAAGTATGCAAGAGAAAAAGTCTTGGAAAGGGAGCAAAATACAAAATATTCGCCATAATTGCATTTTAAACCTGACAACTAACTGTTTTCTTTAATAAATGTTTTCTCTGTGGTTATCATCAGACATCCCGATTTTTAAGGAAATAAAAAATACAGTACATAATCCTCAGTTTGCCCAGTAGGTCCCTCCTATTGAAGTGGTTCTAAGTAGTCTAATATGTGGCTTTTTTTGTGTATGCACTCAAGGTGTTCTGATTGACGCCATGAGAAAAGGCTACTGGATCATACTGGATGAGCTGAATCTCGCCCCCACTGACGTCCTGGAGGCTCTCAACAGACTGCTGGACGACAACAGGGAGCTGTTTGTGGCCGAGACTCAAGAAGTCATCAAGGCTCATCCCAGATTCATGCTGTTTGCTACCCAGAATCCTCCTGGACTTTATGGTGGCAGAAAGGTATAGTATTCAACTTCACAGGGCAGGAGGACATCCGTGAGTAGCCTCACTTCTTTTTCTACCACCAGCCCAATGACGCTCTTGAGTTTCCCATTTGAAAAAATGAAAAAAGCACCTACAAAAAACTGTTGCGTCAAAAAAGGGGGGAAGGATAGAAAGATAGAGATGGGTGAAGGTGGAAAGAGGAAGGTGAGGGTGAAAAGGAAATATGGAGGGGGATTTAGGTGGCTGAGACTGGAGAGATACAGTGGGGTAAAGAGGGAGGGTATGAGGGTGAGAGTCCAGGATAAAACTGGGGGAGAAAAGTACGTATACACAAGTCTAGTTATTTCAAGCAGGACAATTTTACAGAGGTAAACCAGAAGCCTACCAAGTGTGACTTTAAAAATTAAAAGGTACATATGAGTGTTCTTCTTTTTCATTTTTTCATATAATAATGTCACAATTTCCAGACTACACAGTAACCCTAATACTCAATCAACACCTCTCTGGACAAACAGAATATGATAAGCCTCAAAAAGGCAATAGTTATTGTGAGACTCCTGCATTTGATTGTGCTGCTTTGTGCTTCTTCACAAATTTATCTTCTTCCTCCTCCTGTTAGGTGCTTTCCAGGGCTTTCAGGAACCGCTTTGTGGAGCTGCACTTTGATGAGCTTCCCAGTGGAGAGCTGGAGACCATCCTCCATCAGAGGTGCAGCCTGCCTCCATCCTACTGCACCAAGCTGGTTAAAGTCATGCAGGATCTTCAGGTAGCTCTACACTGATGAACTGCTTGTTTCATTACATTACACACCTGTTCTGAGTGATTTTGACTGCCAGTGTCATACGGGACTTCCTTCCATTTAGTCTTTACGCAGAGGCTCCTCTGTGTTTGCGGGGAAACACGGCTTCATCACCCTCCGAGATCTGTTCCGCTGGGCCGACCGCTACAGGCTGGAGCAGGAGACAGAGGCCGCTCAGGACTGGCTACAGCATTTAGCAGATGATGGTGAGGCTCATCAGTCATCCTGTTAAATCTCCAGCTAACACCTATGTTTGATTAAAACCTTAAAAAAAAAAAAACAACTTCCATCTGTTCTGTCAGGGTACATGTTGCTGGCAGGACGTGTAAGGAAGCCGGAGGAAGAGGCCACTATCCTGTCTATCCTGGAGAAGCACTTCAAGAGGACGGTGAACCCTGAAAACCTTTTCTCTCAGAAACAGGTCACCAGCCAGTTCAGTGAGTCATTTAAACAATCAAACTTTCTCCTTTTTTCCCACATTTAATTGAAAATATTACAGATTTCATTTGAAAAGACAACTTTGTACTAAATAGATCTTGTTTTTTATTATTTACTGTATATCGTTTTCACACAAAACAATTCTATTGTACATGTACTCAGCAATCTTGAGCATCCTCTCAGTACACATGACCTTCTACAACTTGTAGCCCTGATACTGCTTTTATGTGATGATGAACTATTTTGACTGTTAATGATAAAAAGCAAATCATTTCAACATGTTGCCTTAAGCTTTTGGAAACTGTGATAGGACTTTTACAGACCCAGACCAGAAAACTGAGCCTTTGAGCTTGTCTGATGTAAACTGTGCCATGTTGACCTGATGCTGTGATTGGCAGGTCCCTTCATCGACAGCATTGCCGGAGTACCAGAGGAGTTCCGTCATGTTGTGTGGACTCACGGCATGAGGAGGCTGGCTGTGCTAGTGGGCCGGGCGCTGCGATTCGGCGAATCTGTCCTACTCGTAGGAGACACAGGGTAAGACGTTTACATGTCACCGTTTTATAGAATTGTCTATCACACAAATGTTTTTTTTCAGTTTTTGTTTTTTACTTGTTCAAAGATAAGCATGTGCAGTTTTTGTAGTTATACTATGCTCTTTTTCGTGTCCCCTCATCAGATGTGGAAAGACTACTATCTGCCAGCTGTTTGCTGCTTTGGCTGGACAGAAGTTCTTCGCAGTCAACTGTCACCTGCACATGGAAACATCCGACTTCCTGGGAGGCCTGCGACCCGTCAGACACACACATCAGGTACCAATGGGTCTGTGCTGGGGCCAGTAATGATTTTCAAAAGATAGAAGGAAAAATAATCTAATTGTTGAAGTTGACAGGAAGTTTCGATGTGACTGGTCTTTTCAAACTGAACCTGCAGCCTCCATGGTAGTGGAAGTTGTTTTCGTCTGGAGTTCAGTTCGCTTCCATGTTCTTGTTCTTGCTCTAATCTAATACACTGATGATAATCAGATTTCTGCTCTACCACAGCCTCAGTTTGGAAGCATTGCTGGCCTAATTTAGCATTACTATCTTTTTAGTTGGAACTTATTTAGGCTTTTACTCCTTGGCTTTCAGTTGTCTCGGGGCACTTAGTTGTTTAGAAACCCAGTTGCACATAGGCATGACAAAGAAATGAGGTTTCTCCTGGAGAGATATAGCTACAGCAACAGATAGTTTTTGATAAACGTATTTTTGGAATAACTCTTTTTAGAAATGACACAAATGTAATTCATAAATATAAAATAACTTTTTTTTTGTTTTTAAATGTGCTTCAAGTGTTGTTTAATGGTAATAAAATTTGTGATTTACAGGATATTTCTGGAGTACAAATAATATGTCATGATGGCAATTTAGTTTGATTAGAGTCCCAAGTAGCTGATGATTAAAAATTCATTTATCAACAATTACATGTCTGATAATAATCAAGACTAATAACAATTGGTAAAGAAAGAAAAGGTCGATACCGTAGAAAATAGTACAGTATTTATTGTTGTAAGCTCTCCTGCTCTTGTTGTGCAGACTGATGGTGAGGACAGCAGGCTATTTCAGTGGCATGATGGGCCCTTGGTCCTGGCAATGAAGGAGGGAGGAGTGTTCCTCATGGATGAGATCTCACTGGCAGACGACTCAGTGCTGGAGAGACTCAACAGGTACAGACACAGACGTGCAAAAACACACACGCGTATGCTTTGTCTCTGCAGTGGCATTATGAAAGTAACCTGACAAGACTGAACATTATGTAATTATACCTGCATAATTTACATATTAGAGGCTAAACCCTAACAAATTATATGTTTTTTTGTATGTTTGTTTCAAAACACTAAACTGTCAGTGTCACCACATGTCTCCCCTAATACTGTATAGCTGTTGGATAGGATGCCATTTTAATCTCACAAACTTATTTCAGTGGCTCAAGCAAATTGCCCCATTGTGTGGTTCAAAATGCAGTACATGCATGTTAGAATTTGGAAAAATTCTAACAGAATCAGTATGTCCTTACATTAACAAATAGAGTAATGATACTTTGGGGCTTGGACATTTACACATAGCAGTTGTTTTGAAAGCCAAGTTGCTATTCTTGCCACAAATTGCTGTTGTACAATATCTATGAAACATTATGACCCCACTTTGGTTAAATTTCACAGTATCTCGAAACATCACTCTACTGAGCTTTTACAAGCTGTTAGTACACAAAAAACCTCACCGAAAGGCTTGTGTGGAGTCTAATACACTTTTAGGAGACATCAGTGTGCAGTGCCACAAAGTGCACTTTTGTTAGACTTGGAAAAAGTCTCACGTCACACACATGTATTGTTCGCAGCAAAATGTTACACACAAAATCCAACATTGACATGACATTTCGCCTTATACACAATCACAAGCAGGTGGTTTACAGACTAACAAAGCTTACCACTGACATTGTTTCATGTTTGCTGTCAGTGTTCTAGAGACAGAGAAGTCCCTGGTGCTAGCAGAGAAGGGCAGCGGGGATAATGACGATGTGGAGCTGATCAGAGCAACTGCAGGTTTCCGACTGGTTGCCACCATGAACCCTGGAGGAGACTTTGGCAAGAAGGAGGTACTTGAAACAAGAATGTTCCACTTTGTTCAATTCAATTCAATTTTATTTGTATAGCACATATTTACAACAACAAGTCATCTCATAGCGCTTTGTTGCCAGTGGAGCTGCTGGTACAACACTTACAAGACACTGAAGTCCTTTCTGCTGACTTGTTTAAAGAGACAGTGCATGGAATAGATCATACTGAATTTAGCAAACTTTTCAAAACACACACACACACACACACACACACACACACACGTGGACAAAATTGTTGGTAACTCTTGGTTAATGAAAGAAAAACCCACAACGGTCACAGAAATAACTTGAATCTGACAAAAGTAATAATGAATAAAAATTCTATGAAAATTAACCAATGAAAATCAGGTCCTGCTTTTGAACCGTGGTTCAATAGAATTATTTTAAAAAATAAACTCATGAAACAAGCCTGGACAAAAATGATGGTTCCCTTAACTTAATATTTTGTTGCACAACCTTTTGAGGAAATCACTGCAATCAAATGACTTCTGTAACTGTCAATGAGACATGTGCACCTCTCAGCAGGTATTTTGGCCCACTCCTCATGAGCAGACTGCTCCAGTTGTCTCAGGTTTGAAGACTTCTCCAGACAGCATGTTTCAGCTCCTTCCACAGATGTTCAATAGGATTTAGATCAGGGCTCATAGAAGGCCTCTTCAGAATAGTGCAATGTTTTCCTCTTAGCCATTCTTGGGTGTTTTTAGCTGTGTGTGTTTTGGGTCATTATCCTGTTGCAAGACCCATGACCTGCGACTGAGACCAAGCTTTCTGACACTGGGCAGCACATTTCTCTCTAGAATACCTTGATAATCTTGAGATGTCATTGTACCCTGCACAGATTCAAGACACCCTGTGCCAGATGCAGCAAAGCAACCCCAGAACATAACAGAGCCTCCTCCATGTTTCACAGTGTGCTTTGAAACGAACCAACTATAACTATAGGATGGCTGAGTCTGACTTTTGTGCTCGTCTGTTTGTGTACAGCTCTCTCCCGCCCTCAGGAACCGCTTCACAGAGATCTGGTGTCCTCAGAGCAACAGCCGCAGTGACCTGGTTCAGATCATCCAACACAACCTGCGCTCAGGCCTCTCACTTGATGGTACGATCACCGGAGATAAAGCATGTCCTGAAGATGATGTGTTAAGCTGTGACTGTACTATACTTACAGCAAGACAACCACAAACAGATGCAGTTAAACTGACTAGAGAACATAGTGGAGAGTTTAGTAGCTAAGAAGCCAGATATTTCTTTCAAGAGGTGATGAAGACCAAAGCAGAGCTAAAAGAGGAGTGAATGTTAAGTCCGGGAGTAGATAAATGTCAGTGCTGTGTTTACAGCTTGTGTTTACTGCCACCAAGTGGAAAAAAAGCCAAGCTGCACAGGGATAGAAACTCACACAGTAATCACATTACATCACTTACAGCTGTCATCTCATTGACTGCACACTGAGTTCATGTCAGAAAAGGTCAGTTGAAACAGTGAACTTGATGCACAGCAGCTAGACATAACATCTAAGAAGTATGCAGCATTTAAAGAAGTACTGCCACAAGATTTAGGATTATTGCTTTCCACACTGGGAAATATTAGTTCATGTCAACTTAAAGCACTTTTGCAGCTGATCTTGTTAATTACATAGTTACAACACTGAAAACACACAGAAGAATCACTCCATTTTTGTTTCTTTTTTTTTTTTGGACACACCTCTTTGAATTAAACACAGGTGGCGATGTAGCAGAGTTGATGCTGGACTTCATCGAGTGGCTGATCCGGCAGGACTTCGGCCGGCGCTGCATCCTCAGCGTCAGAGACATCCTCTCATGGGTCAACTTCCTCAATGCTGTGTGTGAGAGGGACGAGGACGGCTTCATGACGATGGGGGCCCTGGAAGATGAAGAAGAAGCAGAGTGGGACCTCAGACTGGACACTGTCACCGCCTTCATTCATGCCGCATGTCTGGTCTACATTGACGGCATTGGCTCAGGTGAGCTAATGGCCGTTTTTTAAAATTCCGCTGAGAGTTTGTCACACGGAGAAAGTATTTGGTAAATGTGGTCTGACCCTCCTTTTTCTTGCAGGAACCACAGTGTCCTCTGCGGACAGTGCCCTCTTGGCTCGTCGACTGAGCCTAGGTTTCCTGCAGCAGCGACTGAGTAAGATGACCAAGCTGGATCAGGAGATGTTAGACGCACTAAGAGTCTATGACAGCAGCCTGCCGCGGGAACCCCAGTGGGGCGAAGACTTCTTTGGCATCGACCCGTTCTACATTGCTTTAGGTACGAACTTCAGTGATTCTGTTATTCTAAGATGTACACCATATTGCATGTCTGCTTTTCCTAGTGTTATTCATACTTCACTGTCAACGTTACGAATTTTGATGCTCTATATATGAACACATTTCTTACATCGACCTGTATCTACTAGTGTTCAGCTGGCCTGACTGACACAATGTTTTTCAAAGTTTTGGAAAAATGTTAAGTCAGATTTACAAACTTTCCTTTTTCATTCAGCAAGACTAAACTGTTGGGAAAAAAACTGTCTATGGAATATAATTGTCTGAAATTTGTTGCAGATTTTTGTGACCATACTTTTATTTTCTGTACTTTTGCACAATTGTAATTGTACTAGTTTTCCAAATTACATTATGTCCTGCCAAAAGTAGGTGATTCCATTCTACTTTTTCCGTTTATCTCAGGGTACCACCAAATTTGGCTGCACTGTCACAGTATTTTTTATTCATATTATATTAGCTACAGCTTACCAATACTTTATCTAAATTGCATTAGATTTGGTCTGTACCAGTTATATGAGCTACAGATTTAACATATTTCACTGTAAGTAGAACTATGACTATGCTTTGTGCTTTCACTGTTCCTTTATAATTTAATGTTTTCTGACATTCTTTTAAAAGCATCAGTTTTTCACCACCATTTCCAAAATCTGTGTGGAAAAACAAGGCCCTGATTACTTTCCTATTGATGTATTCAAAAAGTTGAGTTTTACTTTTTGTAACTGATCCAAATGTCTCTCCAGGCCCTCAGACCGAGAGCCGTAACCTCTCAGACTATGCCATCGCAGCAGGCACCACTGCAGTGAACGCCCAGCGGCTTCTACGTGCACTGAAGCTGCAGAGGCCCGTCCTGCTGGAGGGCTCACCTGGTGTGGGAAAGACCAGCCTGGTGGCAGCGCTGTCTAAAGCTTCTGGAAACCATCTGGTCAGAATCAACCTGTCAGAGCAAACGGTAAGACTCGGTTGTTCTCAAAAGCGCGATATTGTACTCAGAAACACACTTCAAACAGTACAAGGCTGATGATGTTGGACTCTCTGGCAGGATGTGACTGACCTGTTTGGGACAGATCTCCCTGTGGAGGGAGGAAAGGGAGGAGAGTTTGCGTGGCGTGATGGCCCCCTTTTGGCTGCTTTGAAGGCAGGTCACTGGGTTGTCCTGGATGAGGTAGGAGCCACTGTTCAGACATTTTCACAATTTTTTTTAATACCAGTTTTATTGCTTCCGTCAAACAACTCATAATCTGATTATACAGAGGTAGAGTTGAATTGTTGTCTGAAGTGCCATGTTCTCTTGCTGACAGCTGAACCTGGCGTCTCAGTCAGTGTTGGAAGGTCTGAACGCCTGCTTCGATCACCGAGCTGAAATCTACATTCCTGAACTGGGCATGAGCTTCCAGGTTCAGCATGAGAAGACAAAGATCTTCGGCTGCCAAAACCCCTTCACTCAAGGTGGTGGGCGTAAGGGACTTCCTAAATCCTTCCTCAACAGATTCACTCAGGTAAGGAACATTCTATATGACTTTTACATGCTTTATCTTAGTTTGCTTATGTGGATTTTTATTTTTTTCTTTCAATGTTAGGATTGAGATGCTTGAGAAAACTAGAACATCTTTAGAAAAATATCTGGGTTCAACTAAGTGTCAATAAAATTTGGAGTTTGTGAACTGCGCTTCAGAAAGTTTGTGGTTGTTTATCACACTATAAACCTGTGAAAAACATACTACATGGACATTTGTGAACGAATAGAAAAGATCTGTAACTGTAGAAAAAAATGTCTTTGCATAACCTGACCATTGATATATATTGTGCACAAATGTTATGCTAACATTGCCAGTTTTTGGGCACTAAAATAATTTTTTAAATCTATGCAATTTTTTTTCACTTGTTTACAAAAGCTAATAGCATCCCAAGTGTCATGGCTACTGTCACCCTCTGTGACTATCTGAAAATAGACCTTGAAGAAAAATCCTGAAGCTTATCATGAGTGTTTACAGTATGATTTACACTGGTTCCTTTTTAACCCTCTTTATAAAATGTAATGTATGTGTTTCCAGGTTTTTGTAGACCAGCTTACCTGCAAAGACATGGAGTTTATAGGAGATTCTATTTTCCCCAACATCGATAAAGAAATTGTCGCTAAAATGGTGGAGTTCAGTAACAAGGTAGGTATATGTATATATATATATATATATATAACTGTCTGTGATGTAGCATCTCAACCTGCTGAGTGAACCTGCTGGCATGTCCAGCACCAGGCAGTGTATTCCTATCAACATTTTTCTGCCTCCCTACAGCTTGTCCAGGAGGTGTGTGTGGAGAGACAGTGGGGTCAGAAGGGAAGCCCCTGGGAGTTTAACTTGCGTGACATGTTCCGCTGGTGTCAGCTGATGCAGACTGACCAGTCGCCAGGATTTTTCAACCCAGGACAGCATGTCTCCTTGGTGTATGCTGATAGAATGAGAACGGAGGCTGATAAAGCTCAGGTACACATTTTCACCGACGTCATGTTAGACTGCTTTACTAGGGTTACCTAATAAACCAAGAACTGTTTATTAACACATTTGATCTGACTTTTGAAGGATAAATTCAGAAAAAAACACAATTCAGACAGAGGTTTGAGTTACTTTTCAGCTTCCATAACAATGCTTTATCAACTTTGATGCTTTGATATCTGTAAACTGGAAGCATTTTCCTTTAACCCTTTTGGCTGTTTTTGCATACTTTTTTTGTTTTGTCTTTATACACACATGGACAAAATTGTTGGTTATGAAAGAAAAACCCACAACGGTCACAAAAATCACTTGAATCTGACAAAAGTAATAATAAATAAAAATTCTATGAAAATTAACCAATGAAAATCAGTGATTGCTTTTGAACCGTGGTTCAACAGAATTATTTAAAAAAAATAAACTCATGAAACAAGCCCGGACAAAAGGCCTGTTTTATATGCTTATATTTTACAAGTTTTTTGTCACGCATGTTCATAACATCATATCTCCAGTTTGACGTGGTCTATCGACATGAAACAAAAACTGGGAGAGAGTTTAAAGTCTGCACTTTCGAGACAAGTTGACGGCATCACTGTACATACATGAGGGCTCTCTAAGGGTTAAACAGTGTTATGACATGTACAAAACAAATTAACAACCACAGTATCTCTCTATAGATGGGTAAAATTCCCATGTCATTCACTTTCTGTTTTATGCTACATATCTTCAATAAAGGAAAAGAGGAGGGTATTTTTGTCCTCTTCATCTCATTAAGTGTATTTATGCACACATTCAGCATATATAATTCTTTGACTTTTCTGTGTTCTGTAACTGCCCTCTGTTGATTTTGTGTCATTACTGACTCATTTGGGTCCAGTAAAGAAAATAATACAAGACACAGTCAAGTCTATGAACCTCCTCCTGTCCCACACAGGTGCTGTCAGTGTTCAGGAAAGTGTTCGGGGAGGACTTTGAGCCATACTGTGGATCCAGACAGTTCCACATCACTCCACTCAACCTGCAGGTTTGTCAGAACAATAAAACCTCATTTTGCTTTTCAGCAGTGAATGTTTTTAAACTATATGCACATACTTCAAGATCGCTTCTCCTGTGGTTTGCTATTGTAGGTGGGCTTCTCTGTACTGCATCGCAGTGGTGGAGCCCCTGTGGCTCTCGACCCACCACTGTCCATCACACACCAGTCCTTGCGGCCTCTGGAGTCCCTGATGAAGTGTGTGGAGATGGGCTGGATGACCATAATGGTTGGCCCCACGGCGAGTGGAAAGACAAGCCTAGTGAGACTGTTGGCTCTGCTGACAGGACACCGCCTCAGGGTCATGGCCATGAACAGCGCCATGGACACCACAGAGCTGCTGGGAGGCTTCGAACAGGTAACCAAGAACTCATTTGTCAAATTTTCCAAGCAGCATTTAATGTCTGAAGACAGTAGAGCACATTCCTCCTTTCCTCATTTTAGGTGGATATCATGCGACCATGGCAGCAAGTGTTGGAGAGTGTGGACTACATAGTTGCCATGGTAATTAGACGGGGACTGATGTCGCTGGATGTTGGCATCCAGGACACAGAGTTCCTGCTGCAGACGTGGGGTCTGTTCTGCCACTGGTTGAAGGAGGAGGGACTGCAAAGAACTGGGGGAACAGTCAACTCAGAGGCACTAAACAAGCTGGAGGTCATCATCCTCCTGCTGCAGAAACTCAACACCAAGCTCAAAGTGTTTACAGGTAACAGCCAAGTTCTGTTGGAAAACTGAATACTGCATGACATGAAGAAAAATCGTTCAATTTAAAGTTAGGCAAATGGTTTGCCTATCTTTAAATTGTTTATCTAGTAAGTATAACATGCTTCTGTTGTTCACTAGACATGTCCAAGCTGCAGATGGACTTCACGCTGCTGAAGGAGCGACTGGCTCAGCTGGAGGACGGCTGGACAAACGGAGGTTTCGAGTGGTTGGATGGTATGCTGGTTCAGGCTCTGCAGGCTGGGGATTGGCTGCTCATGGACAATGTTAACTTCTGCAGGTGAGAAATGTGTTCTGTGCCTTTTTTGTGCTTCTTGATCTATGTGTTTTACAAGCATTTCCCACTTCACACTGGATTTGGAAGTAATGGCAGCATTATTTCATAGCATTGAAAGCATTTTGTAGTGAGAAGTAATAAGAGCCATACATAACTAAAGCCAAGCCTGAAAAATGCTTTCAGAGGCCACAAAATGTAGGCAGCTTCGCTGATAATGTGTTTTGCGCTCAGTGCTTCTGTCCTGGATCGGCTCAATGCTCTGCTGGAGCCTGGTGGATCGCTCACCATCAACGAACGTGGCGTCATAGATGGGAAGACCCCCAAAATAACCCCTCATCCGAACTTCAGGTCGGCGGCAAAATTACAGCTTGTTCAATGGTTGTTGATTTGACTGAAGGAATTTATAATAACATGATGTGGGTGCCTTTACAGGTTGTTTCTAACCATGGACCCTGTGCATGGGGAGCTCTCCAGAGCCATGAGGAACAGAGGGGTGGAGGTTTACATCCCAGGGGAACACGAGGGTATCTGCTGGGACATTTTGGACCTAAAAACCCTGCTTCACACTGCAGGGGTGACTGGAGACTGTGTATGTGATCTGCTGATTGAAATACATAAGAGCATCAAATCTGCCATCTGGGGTAAGCGTTGACCATGTGACACAAAATTGATATGCAGTCAGTCTGCAGCATTTATCAGAAACTCTGTCTTCTGGCCTTTCAGATTCCCCTGCCTCATCAATGGCCTCCCTTCTCCATGCTGCCACCTTGCTGTCCTGCCAGCTGCAGAGAGGTGTAGATTTGCCCAGTGCCCTGCAGCATGCCTGTGGAGAGGCCTACTCTTTCTGTCAGCGCACCACCGCCAACCAGAAGGTATCAACACCCCCTTATCTCTAGTATGTCTTCTGTCTCACTGTCATCTGTAGGGTGACAACACAAATGTAAAATCTTCTAATATTTTAATTTAAAAGCCAGATGGCCGGATTCTTATATTTGGCCAAGCACCTTTTGCTATTCCTGTCCAGTCCTAACTGATTGATCTATTAGTTAAAACAAAAGCTGCAAATAGGAAGTGGTATTTAACTCTAGTCTATCATTTGAAGGGTAAAAATAGGCAGTTATCTTTCCTTTTCACCTCTGTTGCTCAGTGTCACTGCCACTCTGTGTGCTTTAGAATTATTTTAAGATCCCAATAGTGACTTTTAAGGCATTGCAGTTTCACAGTTTAGAAATGTTGGTCCCAAATGAGCCACAATGGACCATAGTCCTGTGATGGACAGGGCAATTCAGTCTAATCTCCTTGGCTGTTAAACTCCCTGCATTTCATTAATAAAGTTCAAATCTCGTTCAATTATTAGATCAAAAATTCAACTCAAGCAATGCTTTGACTGTTAATGAGGTTTTGCAAGATCTTAACAGACTTGCCATGAAATTCCTTTATACTCTTGACTTTTCTTCCAGCACATTCATGCTACTTGGAGATTAAAAAACATTCTTTTCACTCTAGCAAGCCCAGCAGGTGATTGAGCAGCACTTGGCCATCCTGGATACAGAGGACTGGGGCAGTGGGCTGCTGTGTGCTGGAGTTTGGCCAGACGGTTTCCCCTCCGCCCTCCTCTCCACGGAGGATTCCTGCTTTTCTGACGTCCTCCGAGATGGACAGGTCCTCTCATTCTGCCTGAACACCCTCAGCCTGCAGGGAAAACGGTAAGAATGGTAACGACACAGTCACGTGTGTGTGTGTGTATAGCCAAGAAAGTACAATACATCTCTGACTATGTTGTTTTATCCTGGAAGAGCCTTCCCATTACCAATACAGAAGAAGTTTAATGCTGAAGTAAGTAACTAAGCCAGTTATGTTTGTGCAGGAATCGTCCTCTAAGTTTGAATGACCTGCAGAGGGCCTTGCAGAGCGGTGGTGTCCATGAAGGGCTGGTATTCTCTGGAGGAGTGGTGGATCTGGAGGAAGGAGATGCTCTGAGGCTGATCCCCACAGCAGTGAGACTCCTCACAGAGAGAGCCTCTCATGGAGACTGGATCCTTCGCAGCAGCTGGCTCTCACACCTAGGGAAGAGCTACAAATATGCCCCAGGTTAGTTGTTCTTTGTTTTTTGCAAAACAAGATATTAGTTTCCTCGTAACTATTTCAAGTTACATGTTTTTTTCATTTGGACATAGAGATCTGTCACACCTGTTGCAATTCATGTGTTCATCATTCAATATTGTGTAACAATGCTATTCTTAATTCTTGATTAACTCCAGATTCAGCGCTGGTCCAGGTAGAGGCAGGAAACAGAGCTCTGAAGGCTGTGTTTGGCAGTAAACTTGCTGCAAAGGGCAAGTCCCTTGCAGAGTTGCTCCAACCTCACAGCATAGGTATACTTTCTGTGGTTTTCTGAGTCTATTATGAAAATTACCTTAACAACGCCTGTCTGTTTTTATCAGTCACTTTATCTGAATAAATCTTACTTTGCCAGATGAATACAGGATTCTGGTGGATATGCGCTGGAACAAACAATACCTGGATATTTTAGCCAACAAATGCAGCTTTGAGGACGAGGAAAGATACATGGAGTTTCTGGAGGCTCTGAATGCAGTTGCTAACAGGTAGAGGGACATGATTCTACTTGTTATGTGCAGTAAGCTTGTGGTGGATGCATGACCAGGATGTTCACCACTTGTTAGGCTGTACTGAATTTACATCTGCCATTTCTGCTCCTCTGATAGTTGCTATGACCTGTCTCCCATTGTGAAGTAAACTTTAAAATCCTGTAAACCTGCTCTGCTGATATATACTAATAAGTTGTTTGTGTGGTAGGATTGTTCTGATGATGGACAGAGAAGAGAGGTCAGTCATCTGCACCTGTGCCATCAACCTGTCTGCTCAGAACTGTGCTCTGAGAATAGCAACAGCCTTCAGCAAAGGTAATTGTGACCTGATACAAACATAACTTACACACAGTAGTTTTAGATGTTTTTATGACATCCATCTGCATGACTTAGAATGAATTAGAATTGCAGTCCAAAATAAAAACATCTTCCTCCTATAGGTACTGTGGACATCGGTCACCTCCCACACCCGGTGCTGATGCACCTACGAACCTTCTTCGACTTGTGGGACTCCTTCACCCTGCAGGCTGTGCAGAGCGGACAGCCCTACATCTCAGACCACATCATGTTTGAGGTCAGATCTCTTTGTCACTGTATCTTTTTGGTATCCATCCACTGTGTTCCTTTCTTTGGTCTAAAGCTACAATTGCAAATCCTAGTTCGAGCTGCTGCTTGTACTGCTATTGCTTCTGTTGTCACCACTGCTTCTGTTATTACTACTATTTTGGAAGGATGGTTTTCTTACTTGTGGTCCTTTTCTTGTAACATCTTTATGCGTTTAGATTCTACAGCTGCTGCAGTGGCTCGATCGTTTCTGGGATGTGTGCAGCACGCTGCCGGCTGACTCTCAGGGCATCTCCGTGCTGTCCCTGCACTGGCAATGGGTACAAAAGCACCTCATCCTCCGGCTGCCTCAGCTGCTGCTTGGTGACGCTGACGCCACATTTGAGTAAACAATTTTTCATACTCTGTAATCTGACATTTTCCATTACAGTCAAGAAATAGATTTTTTGTTATGTATATTTACATTTGCTGTTTCATGGCTATAATGTTGCTACAGTATATTTTATTTAATGTATACCATCTGTTATAGTTGTGAATACTGTTTTTCCGTGCTAGAAACAATACATTTCAGCTCAACCCGTAATATATAACTCACTAACCCCTGTGATTACTGTGTGGTGCCATAGAGGTCATCAGGAGCTGCAGGCAGTCTCAGCAGCTATCCAGACTGTTCTGTCCACCCCAGTGTCTGTGGCCACAGCTCTGAAGGGCATCCAGAAAACCCTGGGGAAAGCTCTTCCTTTCAAGGTCTGAAGACATATGACCAGCTCTATTTCACCAATTAAGCCAGTTTAAGTAACATCTGTAACTTAGGAAAAAAAACTGTTACTGAACAATATCCATCTTTCTCATCAGCTGGAGTCTGTGGCTGAGTGTGCTTCTAGGCTCAGGCTCCTGAGTAAAGCTCTGGACGTAAGCAATCTCAGGTTGGATGGCACTGCGGGCCCTTGGAGGCAGAAGCTGGTCCAGCTTCAGGGTGCTGGACTCGGGCTAGACATCAAAGAGAGTCTCCTAGAAGCCTGGGGTCTTGTCTTGCTAGCAAACAACCAGCTGGATCCAAAGAAGTCTGGTGGGTATCCGTGTGTGACCTGGTTGCTGCTGTCGGTCAGTTGTTTGGCACATAGCTTGACTGGGATTTTACCATAAAATGTGATATCAATTTTAATGCTGCTCAGAGGAAGATTCATAATAATTATGGTGAAACAAGATATCTTTTTACACATTTTAAGCCTTTAATTGGCATTTGCATTGAAGAGAATCAGTCAATTGGCAAAAGAGACCAGAGGAATGACAGGCAGCAAATCAGTATGTGAAGGATAAAGTAGTCATGCTGTATCTTCCCATTAGGGGTGCTGGAGAGATTGGTGTCGAGTGTGGAGCAGCAGCAGTGTACCATGACCTCCAGAGGGCTCCTTGAGGTCTGTTCCATGTCAGAAGGGGAAGAACCAGCAGACGGAGTCCACATGCCCAAAGAGGAGCTGCAGCAGCTCAGTCGCAGAGCACAGCTCTGGCCCCTGATGGAGGAACTGGCTGTACTCAACCAGCTGCGACTCAGCACAGACCTGCTGCACCTGGCTCTTTCTCCTGGGTAAAACTTGGTTTCTTCCTTAGATGAAACACAAAACATCAATCTTGATATCATTGATGGACTGTTTACGCAACTCTTCATTCTGCAGTGATCAGGAGGCTGAGGACTGCTTACGTCGGGAGCTGTCCAGACACCTTCGCTACTGCCTCCAATCCACACCGATGAATGTCAGCCAGCTCCAGCCACTGTGGTTCCTGCTTAGCAGTGACAGGGTTAGTAGAACGTTTAGCTGTTTTACAGAGAATTGATCATATGAAGAGATTTCTCAAAATCTGCCTTGTTGCAGTCCTAAAAATGAAAAGTGGTCAGTACTTAAGATATAATACCCTAAGCTGAGGGGTCTAGGACACTTACCATGTCATTACAGTGCTAAAGCTAAGCTTCCAGTGCCTGGAAAAATACTAAATGAACTAAAGAAAAGATTATTGAAAAACATAAAGAGTGTTCTTTTGGTTCATCTCCTCTCCAGCCGGCTGAGGAGCTGCCGTTAGTGTGGTGTGAGCTGCTGTCGGAGGCCTTGGCTGCCCTGTGGAACTGCAGTGTGACTTCAGAACCAGACCGCTGGTTGAAATGGGACCCGCTGAGTGCTGACACCGAGTCAAGTCCAAAACTGCACCATGGAGCAGATAACATGGTACTGGCTGTTGCTGTTTCCCAAGCTATTATTGTCCTGCTATTTTGATATATGTTACAAACTGTAAGTAATGTGCTTTTCAGGGTCCAGCCTTGCTGAGCAAAGCAGTGTGGTCACATTGCATGCTAGGAGTCCTCAGCAGCAGCGAGACTGGCGGTCGATGGGAACCATCTGGAGTTGCCCTTCTCTCCCTCTCCCATGTCTCCCTCGGGGAGTGGAAGGAGAGGATCCAGCAGCTGCAAGATGTTTCTGCAGTGTTGTGGGACAATATGGCCATTCCTGCATTGGCTGAATTCAGGTATATTAAAACATTAAATGTTCCTCTCTTAGACTTTTCTTTTGTGGCTTCACTAATCACCATATGTCTCTTCAGGGGTACAGACTTCAGGCTCCAGGGTGCAGTCCTGCGTCGGCAGCTTCAGAGCATGGCCGACCTGCTGCCTCCCAGCCTGCAGGAGGGCTACATGGAGAGCTGCGAGAGCCTTGTGGAGGACCCAGACCCTCTTATTGCAGCCCAGGAGATCCAGACAGTCTTCAGAGACTTTCTACCTCCAAACTTGCTTCCCGACGGCCTGGTGGAAGCCTGCATCACCTGTCTACAGCAATATGTCCAAAGCAAAGTCCAAGGATCCAACCTACTGGCTCGGTCCGGAGTGTTTTGGGTGAACATGGGGCTGTTGCAGGTCAAAGTGTGGACTCCACAGACCATTTTTGACCCAGCTGTGAAGAGAGCCTACAAACTCAACTACGCTCAGCAGGAGGTCAGCTCTTACTACCTTTCTGACAAAGAAAAAAATTGCCAACTGTGTAATTAATATATATTAGAATGTGATATGCTCACTGTAATACATCACACAGGAATGTATTGGAATCAACTAATCTTTTCTCATTAACTTTAACTTTTTTTTTTAAAATAAAAGTTGTGCTAATTTCAAATCAATTTATTTGAGCCTTTATCTACAGATCACTTTAGAACTTGCAAATATGGACTCTTCTGACTTTAAATAATTGAATTCAGAGAATGAACTGCTGAGAGGTCAGTCTTCACAACTGGGTAAATGTCAAACAATATCAGCTCTGTCTCTAGAAATCAGTGTGACGCAACAGTTGATACAACTCCATAAAATGCACGGTGAAATAATCAGGTTTATAGAACGTTTTACACAAAGCTGGCAGGATTTTATAGAATGGGTTGGGCGAGATTAAAGTGTAACAGTTAAAATGAGTCTCCCTCTGGGTGTTTTACAGCTGGCTCTGCTGCAGGAGGAATGGAGAGGACGAAGCCTGTCGTCTCAGCTGATGACCGGAGCAGAGCTGGAGGAGAGCAGCACCACTGATGGCTTCCAGCATCCTCGAATCAGGTCAGAGCTGGACGCTAAATGATCAGCGCTATGTGTTTCAGCCACAAACATCTGGCAGTGTGTAGTATAAAAATGACTAACATTCCTCTTTGAAGAGCTTACTTAGGGAATTTAGGAAAATATAGTTATTTCCTTTATCTCACCTGCATTGTTAGTTTCATTTGTATATTGACACAAGTCTCCAAATTGCCAACAATGAATTCCCAATGCTGCCTCCCCAGCAGACTACAGCAGAGAACACTGCACTGACAACAACGAACTGATTAAAAAATGTCCAACGTTCTTGCTGCACAAGCCAAAAGCATCTCGGCTTTCTCAGGAAGTAGAGTCTGCTCATCCCCTTCTTGTATACAGCCTTGGTGTTGGTCCTCCAGTTTAGTTTGCTGTCAATGTGGACACCAGGTATTTATAGTCCTCCACCACTTTAATGTCCTCTCCCAGGATGTTCAGGGGCTGTGTGGCCGTCCGCTTCTTCCTGAAGTCGATCACCATCTCCCTGGTCTTGGCCACATTCAGGAGCAGATGGTTCCTCCCAGACCACTCCACAAAATCACTCACCAGCGCTCTTTACTCCTCATCCTGTCCATCACGTATACACCCAACCACTGCAGAGTCATCAGAGAACTTCTGCAAGTGGACCAACTCAGAGTTGTACTGAAAGTCTGAGGTGTACAGGGTGAACAAGAATGGAGAGAGCACAGTGCCGTGTGGGGCTCCTATGTCACTAACCACCACATCAGACAGGGCAGCTCCAAGACAGACAAACTGCGGCCGGCCTGTCAGGTAGTCAGTAACCGCGGAGACCGTGGGTTTACATCAAAGGTGAGGGGGTGGATCCATGGGGGAGCGCGGGGAGGAGGAGGCCTGAGTGTGTGGAGGAGGACACAACTGAGGGCTGTGAACTGAATCTGTTAAAGAAACAGTTCAGCTCATTCGCTCTGTCTGGGCTGCTCACCGGCTGTCTGCCTCTCACATTGAAGCCAGTGATTTCCCTCATTCCAGTCCACACGCCTCTTGTGTTTTTCTGCTCAAGTTTGGCCTCCAACTTCCTCCTGTAGGAGTATTTGGCCCTCCTCAGCTCCATCTTCAGGTCATGCTGTAACCTTCTCATTTCCTCCTTGTCCCCAGACCTGAAGGCCGCCTTCTTGTTGAAGAGGACTTTTAGGTCACTGGTGATCCAGGGTTTATTGTTTGGGAAGCAGCCTACAGTCTTGGCTGGCAGGATGGTATGTTCACAGAATTTTATGTATTCTGTGATGCAGTCAATCATGCTGTTTAGGTCCTCCCCATGTGGATCATATAGCACTTTCCAGTCAGTAGACTCAAAGCAGTCCTGCAGAGCCTCTTTGGCCTCCTGATTCCACCTCCTAACAGTCCTTGTGGAAGCAGGCTGCCATTGAACGAGAGGAACATACTTTGGTGTCAAAAGAACCAGGTTGGGATCAGATCTGCTGAGTGGGGGGAGGGCGGCGGTACTGTATGCGTCCTTTACATTTGCGTACAGGAGGTCCAGTGTTCTGTTGTCTCTGGTGGACAGTTAACAAACTCGTAAAAAGTTAGGAGAGTTCTATCCAGTGAGATTGCAGTACAAAATGTGAAATACACTGAACAAAAATATAAACGACCCATGTAAAATATTGTTGCCATGTGGAGTTAACAACTGTAAATGAGCATTTGCTGACATTTATTGTACAAAAGTAATATTTCTCTTGATTTGTGTATAGTTTTTAATCCAACTTGCTGTCAGCGAGCATTACTCAGTGAGTTGTTTTTTTACTCAGTGCATGGGTGGGGCATGTCCAATGGGTGATCAGACAAAATGAGCAACAGCTGGACAATCCTTGGACTGGGGACAATAAAAGGCCACCCCAAATTGTCAAATTTTGTCACAAGTCATAATGCCTCAGATGTCGCAAGTTATGCGGGAGCGTGCCATTGGCATGTTGGATGCAGGGATGTCCACCAGAGCAGTAGCTGCACAGCTCAATGTCCATTATCGGACCATAGGCTGTTTAAGAGTTCGTTTCCAATAGACTGACACGACTGCAAATCGACCTCATCCTCGTCGGCCACGTGTGACCACTCCAGCACTAGATCGCCACATCTGGCTCATCCATCTGCGGGGTCGGCTAAGACCAGCGACACACACAGCTGATGAGACTATTGGTCTGCACAACAGACGCATCACACCTCAGACTGTCCGTAACCGCCTACGAGAAGCCAACTTGCATGCTCGGTGCCCTCACCGTGGTCTGGATCTCACTGCTGTCCGGCGTAGGAAC